CCCCCCCACTACCTGGGGGCTGGCACCGGTAAGGTCACAGTGGGATAGGAAACGAGGTTTTTTTTAGGGGAATGGAAAAATGCGGAACCTCTGTACCTCTGTATATGTATTTTAGTTTGTCAGTTTTGAGGTACTTTCAACACAAATTGATCATATAAGTGTTGATTGTAAGGTGTTATTAGAGAAAAACATCTCGTACATGTACGACAAAAAGGAACGTGCATTAAAAATTCACTCGTTTTCACAGTACCGTTCGTCTACCTGAGAGTCTGTGTGGCACACGCACGCACACACACACCCCACGCTTAAACTAACGCATACATTCCACTTTATTATATGTACCATCTAAAACACGAACATACATAAAATAAATATACCAGTTTCTCCCCTCAAAACACTTTCCATCCCTCCTCTCTCTCCCTCTCCCTTTTCTCTCTCTATCTATCTCACTCAATCTCTCCGGCACTTGTACAAGTGCATATAATCTGACACTATTATTAGAAGGCACACCTGTGGAGCGCAGCAGTTCAAAGAGCCACCAAATAAACCAAAGTGAAGGGTGAGAAAACCGAAACGCAGAATTTTACAGGACTCGTTAAGTTCCCAGAAAAATTATAACCGTGAAAAAATCATAAGCGTTCGTCCAGCTGAATAGTCTCACAAGTGTGTCTGTCTGCCTCTCTTCCTGCCTGTGTCTGTCTATCCGTCTTACATTTATCTATCCATCCATCCATCCACCTACCTACCTTCTTACCTATCTATCTATGTATCTATCTATGTATCTATCTATCTACATGATATGTAATTTACTTAATCGTCGCCTCATCATATTAGCTATGTAGGCCAATGCTATTTTACATGACAGAAACGTCGACTTTACGGCCTCCGGGGAGTCACATTCCAAGCCATAACACAACTAGGTCACACTAATTAGAGACACTCTACGTTTGATCCTATCAGTTCATCCCTGGATCCTAGAGAGTACATCTCTCTACCTACCCACCTACCGATAGCAAGTCGAACCAGTTGACTGTTCAATCATTCCTCTAAACCATAACTTTGTCGACCCATTCAGCAGATTTACTGATCTGCTCTTTCATCACCGCCATTTCTCCTGGGTACAAAGATGGAAACTACCTACTGAATAATACCAACGATACATTACCCAGCCCCCTTTTCTC